TGTGATAATGGTTTCAATGGTAATGGTCTATGTAATACTGAGATAATAGGAGTTGAATAATGGGAGTTTGGCTTCAGGGGTTGATTGAAATTTTAAATCTATTTGCTGATGAAATTTTTAGAGTAAGTTCTTTAAACAACATAAAACTGGAGCGTGGAATTAATATAATATGAAATGTTAAGCTTCCAGACTTGGACACGAATTTTGTTAATATCGCTGTGTTATTGCTTACGGAATTGATCTTCGTTAATATTTATCGTGTCGATTCGTTCCATTGTATAATTTTTGTCATTCCAGACAGTGAATATACATTTTGAACAATTCAGAAGCAGTTGTCATGTTGGATATAACGCAGTGAATGTATAAAATGCCACGGTAGAGCCTCTTAGCAACTCGACGAGCTCGGCATTCTATTTAAAAGGCGGGCAGTAAGCGTTGTGGGGTTCATAACCTAAGCCTGACTGTTTTGTTTTGGTCAGGACGTCGGTACGCTTGTGGCCGTGAGAGGTGGCAGAGCACGCAGGCAGCGAATGCACGGGAACAGGCAAAACGTGGAGCCTGCGTGATCATGTGACGTCACACGTGGCGCCAGTTAGGGAGCAATTCCGATTGAAGTCTCATTCTAAGTTCATCTTAGATTCATGGTAAATTAAAGCTATAAATATTGGCATCCATGTTAATTATTTTAGCGGATGATAAAGCGAAGAAGATTGTTTTATCATTTACGTTATTTGGCCATAGTATACCTGAGAGTTTAGTCTGATGCTTACAGGCTCCAATTACTAAAATTAAGTAAATGAGACTGTGGCAGGCGTTTCAGTGAATGAGTTTTTAGATCAAGTTAAACTTTAGTTGCGATGATGTAATTCTTAGATTATGTAATTCTTAGGTGATGTAATTCTTTAGTTGAGATGATGTAGTTCGTAGATTATGTAATTCTTAGGTGATGCAATTCTTTAGTTGAGATGATGTAATTCTTAGATAAAATGAGATAGGAGCTTCCCGATAATGGATTTTGTAGCACAGTTTTTGGGTGTCCACACCTTACTCAAATATCAACCACAGAATAATAATATGCGTTTAAAAAGTACTTTTTAAGGACTACACTTCTAAAGAGGCCGGTGTTTCCGATGTTACACATGTACAAAGTACAATGAATTTCTTATTTTTTAAATATATTACAATATTTATAACTTTTTAAATACTTTTTTAATCTGTCAATTGATTCATGCACTGTCTCCGACTTTACATATGTAAGTGTGCAAAATTTCAGATCGATTGGACTGGTGGAAGTGTGTTAAATGTCGATCATAAGATTTGTAGCAGACGGACAAACAAGAAGTAAAGCTAAAGAGAAGTGTATAGTGATAATAAATTGAACCGAAACAAGATTTACGGCATGGCTACCTTTCGTTTAGGACTTTAGGTTCCGAAAATCTTAATCCCGTATTGAGAATAAGAACTGTTATTAGGTAAAATATGACTACTGCTAAACCGGCAAAGAAGCTTCAAATATTGAGATGAAGGACGAAATCGAAAACAACTCAATCCGTTCCAGGAACTTTGAAAACTTCATATTGCTCTTATAGCGAGTACTGGCTTCTTCGAACTGCTCTTTGAGTATCGAACAAACTTACGAACCTGATAAGGGCCTGTCTTACCGTTGATTGTACGGTAGTGCGGCGAAGAAGCAAGGAAGCTGTGAAGCTGAAGCCATAATTATAGAACAACGGGGAAAACTGGGACAACATTCAAGGCTGATGTTTTACAAGGAAATGTCTCGTTTGGTCTTTCTCCCTGATAAAATAATAATGATGTATTCATCATGATTAATATTTTTTCATTCATTCAGTGTCCTAATTAAAATAATTGGAAACTTTATCAAGAGTGTAAAGTGAACTTGCTCTCTATATTAATCTGCGGTCACTTCAATCAAGTTATTCCAACATTGTAATAATCTCCATAGGTACTATAATTATTACATACATAATTTTTCAATATAATCTTTGGGACTTTTGAGCATCAAGCTACCCGTGGTAAAACTTGATATAAATTTATTTATCATCACCAATCAAATAAACATAATGATCTTTATTATCTGTAAGCATCGATATACCAATTGGATTCGATATTTTTCTCGAAATATTTTTTTTTTGTGAAGGGAACTTCTCTGTTAGAATATTTATTAAGTATCCTGGGCAAACTGCGCATAACTGTAAGGGAAAATTAATAAAGTTGAATTAGTTTATATCATGTATAATAACTAAATTTTGAAAAATAACCTGAATTGTTGATGTTTTTCGATTTACCCTACTCATTTTAACGAGCCCAAACTGATTACCTACAGATCCATAGCATTTGTAGCACAAAAATTATTATTATCTTAAATTTCAATAATCATGTAAGCAAATTTCAAGATGTTACTAGTGTTTATTATGACGGTGACTTGTAGACAAGCGGGAGAATATGGAACAGCTGATAGTGAGGCACTACTATCTTCCCATACTATGGAGTTGTGGATCATCACGTGAGCATCTCGTGTACACCTTACAAGCACAGCACTACCTATTCTTAGTCATCTTGTTTGCAAGATATCATGTTCTGTATGCATTAATCACTTTTAATTGTCAGGTTTAGCCGTGAAGGTCAGACTTATGCATGTAATTTTCTCAAAAAAATCTGCAGTTGTGTCGATGAATACAAAGTTTGCTTGTTCCAAGTATGACTGTAGCTGTCGCCAAGTGGTAGAGGTTGTGGTGGTGATGGAGAAGAAGGTGGCTGTACCGTGCGAGATAGTCAGAAGAACTCAGCCTAGGCTCAGTCAACTTGATGCCACGGTGAAATAAGGTTGTCAAGTACTACGCGCTTAAACTATCGGTGGAGATAACGATTAAATATACTAAGATTACCTACGCTCGCTCTGGCGTATTCAGAATACATATAGTTTCGTCGAAAGATCTTCTAGTGACTCAGTGAGTACCTCACAAACTGTGATTGGGATGCATGCACTGAAACTGAATGAAAATAATGTAGGTATCACACCTTGTTTATGTGATGTCTCTTCCATAAGAACTCGATCAATTCGTTGTGCCTAGTATATCGTTATTTTTAGTACTACGCTATCTCCATTTCTCCAATTATTTTTTATTTGCGAAAATTTTCGGAATACCTGCACTTGCAGCCGTGATATCTGTATATGCAAGTGTCTGCCAAGGCTAGGGTCACAGTGTTACAGCACACACCGACACAGGTTGCTCTCTATTTTAACATATTGTGTAACCTCCGTCGCTATTTGTGCAAATGCAATGCAATCAAATACTTGCTTGCTGGTCTGTAGGAATGTTCTCGAATCGATTCTAAAGAATCCTTGCCAAATTATACAGCTTCGAAATATCTTGGCACGATATACGCGTAGGCAGCAGGCACGACACGTGTAATTTCTGTTGAAACTACGGTCAGTGACGCAGAAGTCGACAGAGTAATGGTCACACAGCACGTAACTTGTTACTTTTCAATACAAGCTGAAATAATGGTCCTAAATGCGGAAACTTGTGTTCATCACATATATAAATGGTCAACTTCTTAGTAGATTTTTTTTTCTAAATAATTAACTACCGATTCGATTCGCTCAGACTTCGGTACGTATCTAAGATGACGAAGGGAAGTGGTTATGGTATCGACGGGAATCTATGTTCTGCAAGCTGCGTCCTAAGTTCCAACCGAATTGTAAGATTTTTGGGGTTAATTAGTGAAATAAGTGAATCATTCATTGGATGCCTTAACATTTAATGAGATGCAATAATGCGATGAAATTCATTTTATAATGAATAACTTCTCACGAAATTCTCCCGGTTCTTATGTGCGATATCCAATTTAGTAGACACTAACTCGGTAACTGAAGTACACGCTAACGCCTGCCTCTGATGTTCACGAAAAAACTGTTGCCGACTTGCTGTCTCAACTCCCATAGATAAGCTACGTACATCGACTCTCGAATTTGTATGGTCTCAGAATTAGCAGTCGGTGCACCGCAGTGATAGAGTTGCGCCGCCATTAGCATGTGTACCGTATGCCAGCCACGGCTGAAAGCTGCTCTAGTCGGTGAGCTGTTCCAGCAACGCCGCTCTCGAGTCGTCAGTCTCCCTGGCGCCCAGTGTGCGGCTGCCAGCGGTTGTGGCGCCGCTTGCCCTGTTGTCTCCCCGCCCCATCTTGATTGCCGCTTTTGGACCACTAATTCTGTTTCTCAAAGTGTATATGTTGCGTTAACGCTTCAAAGATCCGTCTGAATGTAGTGCGAAGTTTTCAGGATTGAATTTATGCATTTTGCTGTCATTCCGACTTCCGAGTGCTATATTCGTTGTGCACAGTAAATAATTTTATGCGTGAGGTATTTTCTTTGGAGTTCCAACGCCTGCTAGGCTATTGCTTTGTGTATTAAAAATACCATTTAAATTTCCAGTTTTTATCTTATAAAAAGTCATAATTTTGTGTTATTCGTACATTCCGCTGCCGAAGTCTCTCTACAGCAATCAAACTTCTATTGTATTTTTCTATTATATCAAACTGGTTTTACCGCTTATGTGCAATAATTTAATAGGCCATCGCATATTCCAAATGCTTGGCCCTGTTAGATGTGCTTTGTCAAGAGGAACTAATGACCTCAAACTGGGCCTCAAATCTGTTTTCAAATTTTTCGTTTCGCCTGGATATACCGTACCTAACGAAGTGAAAGGCTCCGCAAGTACCGTCAATGCCACTAACTTCGCCACAGCATTTGTGTCGCCTGCCTTCGAAAAAAAAAAGATCTGTTTCGTTAACAGAATTGTGCCACACATCTCTAGCGCGGTCGAAACAGGCTAACAGATATGTTTCGATCGCTAAAGTTACTATATGGCCATGAAAGTATGAAACCCTACAAATCGTAGTTGTCTCCAGAAATATACGGGTTTTAGTGACGAGCGGCGAGTTAAGTTGTAGCTGTTGATTAGCGACTCCTGTGTCATTGACTCCCGTTTTTTCAGATTTCTGGCATAACTTTGGAATACATCTGCTTCTTTCGATTTTCGATATCCGAAGCTTTTTTATAGAGATGATTTGCACTTAATCGTCTTTGTCTTTTGTGCTTTTGCAATTGGATATCTTGTAACGTTTAAAAACTTAATTTTATTAAGGACATGAAAGATTGAACGTTTTCTATGATGAAAATGAAATTAAGTGAAAATCTCTTATTTTCATCCTAAGGTAAACATTTGGCCTGTTTTTCGACTGTAATTTTTTTTATTTGCTAATTCTAGTGTTAAAAATTTTTAAATTAGTAGTTTATAAAGGAATAATTATTAATTTCATTGGCTTGAACTATTTACTCATCAAAACAAACGTACTGAATTGTTCCAAATAATGAAAGTGAATGAAACCTAATGCGAAATTGTTTATGATGTCGGTGGGATGAAGTGCTCCTTTTCCAGATTTTTCCATCAATCAATCGTCAAACCTAATAATTATGTGGAGTGTGGACGTTTTTTTTTTCAATGCTATCATTCATTTTCATTAATTTTGATTTTTGCAATTGCTTTGCTTCATAATTATAATTTTGATTTTTGAATGATTTCATGATCATTATTTATAAGAAGGATGTAGGAGAAAGTCTTCTTAAAGTCAAGGGATTCTCAACTGTAGATTTCAGTAATTTTCTTTCACCTTCTCCCTATTGAATGAAAGTGTTGATAAAGAGTGCAACCTGTTAAATTTTCATGTTCAAATATGTCATTTTATTAATAAATATTTATCGAGACTGTACTCTGCAGATTGTTATAAGCTAGAATGATGTATTATGGTCGTATTTTACGAGACATTCATACTGTATTGTAGTTTCCTTCTCCTCGGCTTGGTTTGAGGCTCTGTAACGTCGATGTTTTGCGTCCATTAATTTATGCCATTCATATTTGCCCCAAGCGCTCGCATTTCTCAACTCTCCTGTAACTTCAACACAGCTGACCTATCATATTTAACTGAATTTTAAATGGATTCAGCCGGAGATTTTTTACAAGAAAAGTTATGGATGATCACTTTGGCACACTATTCAGCATGGCACACATTTAAGTGGATGTAACTTACGTTCCGTGTGGAAAGGATTTGCAGTCCCGAAAGGATTTGTCGGTTTTTGACTTACTGACGGTCTCATGACGTCGATAGAGTTTCGTATGATGTATATATGCGTGTAGAACTGTCTCATAACAATAGTGTGATGCACAGGTCCTGATGACAGCGTGCACGATGCCGAGCGATTACGGGGCGGAACTCATGCTTGGGTCATCTCCAGTCATGGGCTCTGGCTTCCATGGAACAGGATCTTCCTTCTTCTCAGAGTACCCGCGCTGCGGTAGCCCCAGCTCCATGTGGGGGGACCAAGGATCCTACTACCCCAGTCCTCTCACAGGCAGCTACTCCGACCTCAATGCCCCAGACCCCTGCAGAAGTTTTGCCAGAACCGGATCACTCAGACGGCCTAAGAAATTGAACAAAATAAAGAAAGATTTTCCAAAGCCGCTTCTTCTAACTATACCTGCCAAGTCTATATTGAGATCTCCCGACGAATTCCCTCAAGTAAGAATTGACAAGCTGTTGTGCTCAATTATGATTGATACCTGCACTGCATTTTCTCTGTGCGCTCGGCTTACCGGCTCTCTATAATGCTGAGCGTATTTTCAATTTTTTTTTGCTGAATATTTATTATTCTTTGCAGTAGCTGTAAAATTCATCGTTAATATCTTCTCCGCATATGTTATACATGTTGTGGTTCTTTCTCAGGAAGAAGATGCAGTAGCCACATCGCCCAATCGCGAAAAGAAAAGAGTTGCGTTCGCCGATACCCTGGGTCACACATTAGCTCAAATCAAAGTTATCACCGAGCGACCGGACTGTCCGCCCTTCTGGAGCGCAGAATTCATCGAAAAGGTGAAGGTTTGTTTCTCTTTCTTTTCTTTCGTTGGCATCCCTTTTGCGGCAGTGGTGGCTGTTAATATTGTGGAGGAATTGACTTGGCAGTAATTAGTGGGAATCAATTTCAATTTTCTCTTCTGAAAAAATAACAAGAAACAGCAGTGTGTGAAGTGAAAATACCTTTTATCGCTTCACATCCTGGGTAATCTGACACCACAACCGTAAAGCTTTTTGATGACCTAATCAATTTATTTCTGCACTCAATCTTACATGGCTACTCCCAAACTCCTTTTCGTTGATCGCCACTCATTTTCATTTGAGTGATTTGGATTACGTTATGAAATTTAAACGATTTGGAGACTTGGTTCATTTTTATAATTTTATTGGTGATTGTCAATTGCTGTAATTCGGTCACTTTGTGTCCGTAGCGTCTTAGGCTTTACTCAGAGTATTCGCGTTTATAAATTCTCGTATGAATGGAGAGGGTTTCAATGAAACCATTAATATGGTAAATTTTATATTAAATTTGTGAATTTAAGTTCACATCCTACATCCTACGTTATTAAAAATCTCTAGTTCAGCAAAAACGATGATCCAAACACAATCAACGTTGAAAATCAGTTAACATAACTCAAACTTCCGAATGAACATAAACGTTGATCCGTAGCAGTTTCGTTGAGTAGTACGACTGTCGGAAACGACTGTACCTCATGCGCACGTTTATGGCCGTACCGCAACCCTAGCCCCGTCCCCGCAGTCGCCTTTATGTCGCTCTGTCGTCTTAGCCGCAATTTCCGCGCTTACCTACGCTTTATTCATGTATCACGGCCGGTGTGACCGTAGAATTTCTATAACAACCGTACTTTGGAATAGTGGCGTATTCTTCATCGCCGATGATATTACTCACTGTACTGTGCATTGCCGTACATCTGCTATTGGTGATCGTGACCGTACCGTGCTGATACCATGAAAATGTTTGCGCAGTGCTCGCTCAATAATGTGTGTGTCGATAACGTATTTCAGCTTATAACTCCCGACAATTTTCAGGTTACTGGTGGGTTTTCAGCTGAGAAGCCCCCGAATCGATGGGAGTTGACTTTCTCTCAACCTGTCTCAGATTATATGGGCTTCAAACTCCGTCTTGATAGGGAAAACGTCGCACTCGAGAATGTTGTCATAGAAGAAACCCAAGGAATAGTTAAAGGAACCGTTAAGGTGAGTTAACCGAGATCATGAGCGACAGTAAGATTGAACCGCTTCTCACATGATAATTAGTTCAATTCTATCAATTTCGATTTAATCGCGCTTGAGATCCTGCAATAAATTTAAGCTGTGTTCGTAAAGAGCGTCTGAAGTGTTACATTCCCAGCTACTCCCCATTTTTAAGCCTTTTTATGCTTGGTCACCCGAAAGTTCAACGGTGTTTCGTGACAATAAATTACTCCATATATTATTTTGTTCAAATTCTGAGTTCAAACGACTTATGTCTTTTCCAGGTTCGCAATTTATCGTTCCACAAGGACGTGTTAGTTCGTTACTCAAGCGACGCCTGGTTGTCGAGCAGGGATGTGTCTGGTGTGTTCATCCCTGCGCCAACAACGTCGGTCGCTTACGACCTTTACGACAGATTTAGTTTTGAGATCCCGCTCCCAGAGGCCAACCTAACCGACAAGCTGGAATTCTGTGTTCGATTCTCATGTGATGGAAGAGAATACTGGGACAACAATAGTGGGCGAAATTACGTGGCTATTTCATTCAGATCAAAAAATGACGAGAAGAAAAACAAAACTAATGATGCTTATCAATTAAGCTTAGACTCGTGGACCGAGTTTGCATCTTGGAATCACCTAAGCTTGGACGATTCCCCGTACTGGTAGCATCCAGCAGTGACGGTCGCTTGTTGATGCCAAGTTCGCCTTCAGTGCCTTTGACAGAAGCTCGTCCAGTTCTTTGACACTCAACGTGCCTTGTTGTGACCGAGATAGATACGTTTTTCATCTCCGAGTTTACGTACACTTTGTGAGTGAGAGTAAGGACTTAAAATAGTGATTTTTCGTGACAGCTTGGACTCGAGGTGATGGTATAGTCAAGTGCTTCAGCCTGTGAAGGAAGTGTTCGACGAAGCCCAAATCGGACGTCAGACGATTGTGGAAACTAGGCTGTGATCCATGAAGAAAAGTTGATGCCCATGTGAAAAGAGAGTGTAAATGTTATCTCCTTGTATTTAAACGTGTTTTTTGTCGGTGTAAGCAGTGGGTGCATTCTCCGTGCCTCCCTAGATACTATAACCCAATATCCTCGTCGCCGTTGGAAGTTAATAATCCACCTAATCGGTGAATCTTGGTCGGTCGAGTGTTACTGTTTTATCTCGCTGATCGAGGAAGTACAAAGCTACTCCCAGACTGACATAACAGTGGTCGCGAGTACAAGTTCTGTTATGTTGGTCACTTGGATCTCCCTCTCGAAGTCCTCGACAACGCTTGAAGTAAAGTTCCTCGTAAGTCAAATTTTACTAACATCACTTTGCATTTTATTTTTGTTTGTACCCTTTTTTTACGCCAGTGGAAGAAATTTCGATTTTTTAACCTCGACGTCTGAAGAAAACGTGTAGACTTTTCTATCTGAGAGCAATTATACGGGTTTCGGATTTTATCAACCACTCGTATAGCAAACCATAAATTACATCTACGTTTTTTTAGAGAAATTAATCAATTTGAGCGATCGGAGAGATATTTGATGATCTTAATTTTAATTAATTTCCAAATATCACGACTTGAAATATTTACCGGTACCGTTAATCGTTCCATAAAATTATTCTCCCGGGACAGCATATATGAAAATGTTGTTCTCTTAAATTTTAATGAAGCGAATTTTGTTAAAGAATGAACTCGTCTATTATTGGCATTCACCGGCCAATCCTTGACATGTCTATATGGCGCGCGGAAGTTGTGTAGGCTAGTACGGCCAACTGATTGAATCAGTGCTTCGAGACGTTGACTCATACAGCATACTAATTAATATGCCCTTCATTTGTCGAGCCCATTTTTCTCATCTTTCATTTGATATGTGATGATTACTTCTAACCAAAATTATTCGATGAATTCTTAATTTTTTACCAATTAGAAATGTGCTCGCAGAAAGCTTCGTGATAAGTCACCTCTTACAATATCTGAAGGCAGCGTTACGGTCTCTATGGCTGCCGTATCTTATTGAAGTGCTATAGGCTGCTGGCAGAGGCGATGCCGCAATGCTTGTCGTTCGTGCCGGGACTGAGATACCGGCTGATGCTGCTGTTTCTAGGCGCATTGTTGACCTTGAGAAGCTCGTGGAGGTTGAGCTCCTAATATCTCCAGCCCCTGTCGCTAAGTACTCATTTGACACACGGAAAATTCCTTTCAGAATTGATATCAGCAGCATTAATATTATAGCGTTTCATGTTATAAAAGTGAGTGGCTTTTTTCGTAGGCAAGTAAAGATAGGTAAGTAGAGTTAGCATGTAAGATAAGTTGAGCTGACTTGTATTTTACTGTTTGCGTCGCCAGACATGCATGTTTGATCGCATCAATCCCCATCCACATTTGCTGTGCATCCGTTCTATATTTTGTATTTTCTTCGAGCAAAAAATATGTTGATCGCTCTCTTCTATGCGTCCATACATACCGGTAACTGCAACAGCTGTTTAATGGCGCCCGCAACGCGTGTTATGACAACGCAATATTTTCCACCTTGAAACACTGGCAGCTCGAACTGGCAGATCTCATAGCGGAAACTGACAGGAAGTAACTGAACATTCAAGCTATTCTTGGCGCAGAGCCTTGTCTTCTGTCATAATTGTCTGGCCCGAAGCGCCTTTGCATTTCACCCTTCGTTGGATTTTAATGTGCAAGCAAAAAATGTTAGTGAAAACTGACCCATCGACTTGTGAAAGCAATGAAAGTCTGCCTAAAAGTTGGTCGTTCTCTCATGGTTTCCTGCCCATTTAAGAACCAGGTGATCGTCTTAGTTTAGTTAATTTCAGTTATGCAAGCCACGTTTCGATGCTCCTTTTAATCTCATAACCACTTTTTTGCTCGCTTCGCCGCTCGTCCTTGCCAAGGCACATGCGTCCGCTCAAATAGTGCATTGGAATCATATGCTTCCATCTCATCATGGCATCACCTCACTATTTCTGTACTTTCAACCCTTGCATCTTTTTAATGGTAATCAACATTACTATCACTTCATAAACTCGAATATTATAACCTGTCATTATACGCGAACATTGCCTGTGCTGTTGAGTGTTTTGAAGCTCAAACGCTCCCTGTTCACTTCCTGTTAGATAATGACAAACAAGACTGAACAATTAGGTTATGTGGTTTAGTAAAAGCAGCGTGAGATGTTTATACCAATTGGTGTTGAGTCTTGGGATTTCCTGTGATGAGTGAACCGTTTGCCCTCAACGCGTTAGTTTAAAATGAACACGTTGGTTACGCACCAGTACCGTTTTACTCAGCGCGTTAGTTTAATTAAAATGAACACGTATTGGTTGCGCGCCAGGATGCAACTGTCATGAGCCTCTAAGTAAAGAGTGCTAGAAGGCAACTACGTGCGACTTGCATTTTTTTGTGTAAACATTGCATTCAGTAAAACTTGACTGGAAATATTTTTTTTCCAGTACAGAACCTTTCGCCAAGTTTTATTACTATGATTAGTTTGAACTTCCTGGTTTGTATAATCTTACATTCACGTAAAATTCACGGCTTACTGCTTACATTCACGGCTCATAAGAGCAGTCATCTTCTTTATTTCCTTGGCGATCCACGACTTTAGGCGCGTCACCAAGAAAAATACAACTAGTAATCATTCATGCGCTGGGCAGTCCGCTGTCGGTGCAGCGTTGCTATTTTCTATGTTCGTCCCTCAGCGGGACTTGCTTCCTGATTCCTAGAACGGCGTGCGCCCGCCGTCACATGTAGCAGCCGCGCTGCGCCCACACGAACTTAGCTGCGCAACCCAAGGACGATTCTTTTACTGCAGTCGTTCTGGTGAACTTTACTCTGCTGCGACATGCATTTTTATGTGGGCCTGTGCTAACATTAGGAAGCGACGATTCTCTATAGGATTATCCTAGTTTGCACTTCCGGCGAGTTTAGGCATGACCGTGGTTGTTGGCAGCGATCCCTTTTCATGGCTGCAGTATTCAATAAATTGATAGTGTGAAAGGACTCGCTTGGGCTATTCCCACTGATTTTTGAACTTTAACATTACCTCGAAAAAAAAAAATTTTTTCATGGTCGTCTTCAAATTTTGCCCTCACATAACTCATGCTGACTTCGCATTAAATATCGCATTTTCCACAACTTCGATTTCGTTCACTTAATTCATTTATTTCGGTGAGACTGTAATCTTCAAAACGAAAATTTTGTATTTACTTTCCTTCAATAATTTTTTATGATATTCAAGTGTGACTGTCGGTCACCTTCCTTATCTTTTATCATTTTATCACATATTTAGTTGCAACACTTCACGTCAAGTGGTACATAGCAGTCTTTAATTTTAACAGGTAATCACTTTATTAACATGATTTTATTCTCTGCAAATGATTTCCATTAGTTATCCTTAATCTTCATTCTATCCCTTGAACTGCTGTACGTCAGGTCACACTCCGAGAGTTGGCGCGCTGTGCAGGCGCCGCCGGTGCCAAGTTTAGCCTGCAATATATGGCAGCGATCCCATGGGCAGTCGGGGTTTTATCTTAGTCATCCTACATGAGCCTATTGAAATATTTTTCTCTGTTTTGACGCTTTAATGGACAACAACAAAAAATTGCTTGGGTTTGGTCGGACGACTGTTCATCAATGTTTAGCTTATTACGAAAACACATTCTCATTGAAACCGGACATTATTCCCATTGAATCATTACGGAAAACCGGACATTATTCTCAATGAAACCGGACATTTTTGTGTTGCTCCAGCTATGTGAATTCTCATTCTCACAATAGGTTTGCAAGAAAGCCTCGTTTTGAGGAATTCTTAATGTGTAATTACCTTTTAATTACTCATTGTCCTATCACTTACAAAATCATGTCGATTTCCTACTCTTAAGATTTACTGCAATTCTCCTAAAATTTATTCTTTTCCTGCAGGCAACATATGGCGTCGCCACTTGAAGACGGCTCGTGAGGGCGCTCATATCGAGAGGTCATGCAAGCCGACTCAGCAACTGGACTACGTTAGTTCAATTCGTCTCCTTCCATTCTTTGTAAAATAAATCATTCAGTTGCACCTTAAAAAAAAATTTTTCCACAGCCGACTCAAAGTTTCATGTAAAGATCTCCGTTGAATTAACTATCGGAAATAGGGCGAATTTATCGTGCAACGTCTTCTGAGATAAGAGATGTTTGTGAGTGGAAAAGGATGAAGTCCTTTGGAAAATGTGCTTTTCATTTGTGTCGCAGACCGTATAGGAATTTTGGAATGTTCTTGATATTTTTTATTCGTGTTTTGCTACTCGCTTATGTCGAGATTTGTTAATCATAACTACTGAAGAGACTTGTTTCGTCCTCTTGAAATGTGAACCTACTGATTCATTAAGAAGCTTCGTGCTTACACCGAAGCCTTGGTGATGGTCTTACATGTATTTCAAGTCCATCACCACAATTGAAGAAATGAGTGCGACTGTCAAATAGTGATGCACATTTGGCCTTTGTGCGGGTCATCTTGGCTCAGCTGGGCTCACCAAAAAGGCGTATCAGTGATACGTCCGCTCTCTTGTGCTGTGACTAAGAAAATGCGTCACTGTTTTGACAACATGACCCAAAACAATGAAGTCCTTTTAAAAATGTGCTCTTCATTTGTTTCGTAGACCGAATAGGAATTTTGGAATGTTCTTGATATTTTTTATTCGTGTTTTGCTACTCGCTTATGTCGAGATTTGTTAATCATAACTACTGAAGAGACTTGGTTCGTCCTCTTGAAATGTGAACACACTAATTCATGAAGAGGCTTCGTGCTCACACCGAAGCCTTGGTGATGTCTTAAATATATTTCAAGTCCATCACCACACTTGAAGAAATGAGTGCGACTGTTTAAATAGTGATGCACATTTGACCTTTGTGCTGGATCATCTTGGCTCAGCTGGGCTCACCAAAAAGGCGTATCAGTGATACGTCTGCTCTCTTGTCGTGCTGTGACTAAGAAAATGCGTCACTGTTTTGACAACATGACCCAAAACTATTTCTGACTGCATATCTTTGGTCATTTATGATGGTCGGCTATGTATTTCGTTAATGACGCTCATTTCCTTGTGGCATCAATTTCAAGTGTTTTTCTGCAATAGAAACTGCCACGGTGTGGTCTGTTCAATGAATATTTCGTTTCCTAACATTTCTCTGCTTGATAAATTTCCTGAAATGACGGAAGACCTAACTTGTGGATTTTCAACGTGAGTCCCGTCTCGTCTTGCCGCATATTTGTGGTTAGATTTACCGCATATTTCGATTTCGCATTATGCTGAAACTTTTTCGTGTTCCACGATCAAGTAGACTAGTTTTTTTTTTCGAGTTTTCTGATTTACTTGATATTGACTAACTCGTCTGAAGTCGACCTTGGGCCAAACCGGTGCAAAGTGTTATGATGTTGCCAAACCTAATATATCTATCATGTTGCGTTAGCGGTTGTTGGGTGCAGCTTCTTCCTGTTAGCAGGAGTTGTTTCTACTGTGATAGGCTAGCCTTTAATGTAAATATTATTTTAATAGGTTTCGTTTTTGATTATTATGATTACGTCTCCAGAAAGTTGAGAGCTTCTGCAAGGTATATTCGTACACGAGACGAGACGTATGGCTGCCTTATACAATTATTGTTGTGCCACGTTCGTATGTAGTCTGCTTTACTCGAGGTAGTGATGAATCATGTGGTGCTGATAGCTCGAATTTTAAACGCTTGATGTCTTGAAGTTTGCTGTCGCAGCGGTCGCTCCATAGAATTAACTCAAGAATATTAAGTTTATGCCACCGATTAGCAATGATTGTATTTATTTGTAAACCTATTTTTAAAGACAATTAAAATTTAATTAAGATGTTATTCTTATGTAATCATGCGCCGTTTCCAGTGCAATTATTTCAATACAGTCGTAATGATTCTAGTTTGATCAATAAATGATGTTTTTAGGGTGTATTGTTACGGGGTTTTACTTCTGTTCGGACGAAAAAAGGCATCGTTGACCTCCCGTGGGCCTTGAGCTCATCGAGTCATGCTTGCTGCCGAGCGTGAGTCGAAACGCTGTCGTGAGTGTAAATATACTCCTTCTTCCTGCTACTCATTTTAAATTCTCGTTTACGTTTATTCTCGCTGTACAATATAGTTTTTCACTTTGATAGTCGTTAGTCGTACAGAAATGAGATGGGATTGTACCAGATGAGTTTTATAGTAGTGATTATTTTAAGCGATTGTTGTCTGTTTTCATCTAGTAACGTCATCATTCAACGTTGTATCAACGTTGAAGTTTATCAACGTTGTCATCTGTTGATACACTGATGGGCGTCTCTTATGCCGTTGTGTGACTTGGATGGAGGGCATGATAATGTATCAAAAAATGTGAATCACCTGCCGTGATTTAGTCTTAAGATGAAGCGCTATTTAGTAATTTTCCTTGGCGTTATTTCATGTCCGTAGCTCGCTAAGCGTGAACAATTACCGATTATAGATCTCTTTTTTGGATCATAGCCTTACTTTTATTTTACTCTGCGCGGGGGTATTGTTCGTAAATAGTGCTCAGAAATATACTGAATTTTCTCCTACACTTTCGAGCCATGCCTAGAAGCAACTGGAAATTATCTCAATAGACTCAAAAAGGATCTGATTTTGTCTGTAAGATTACTCAAGTATTTCAAACATAGCTTCTTCACGTGCTTCTATCAGTTGGTAAATGAGCCATTAGGATTACAGTTGTTTCCTCAAGTGAGGCGTGTTGAACCGGAATATGTTATGACCGTATTACGAGTGCATCTTAATTATGGAGAGAGTGTGATTTGATTGATTGGTGGGATTAAAATGCCTGTTCTCGTGAGATTCTGTTGTCTTCTTCACATATGATTAGATGAAACCCTTTGAAGAGCCTAACTGATATTGATCGGTTTTGTAATGCTCTCAGGCACCGGTCGTGGCTCACTACCACACGTTTGCTCAAGGAAGTGTTCGGTGCCAATATTCTGCGATAAGCTTGAGCAACTAATTGCTTGAATCAGTAGCTCAAATTAAAAGAGTTATATTTTGATAGTACGGCCCTCTCGTGAATTAGCATTAAGTGTAACTAGCGCATTTAAGCTGAGGCGTGTTTAATAGATGCTTACGCAACAATCCGGGAGATCATTTCACGCGGAGAACGCTTGTTTTAAGGTTGCCAGATTTGAATATTATTTTTTGACGTGTTCAAAGACTTTATTACTAAGCACCTGTTACCTTGCTTGTAATCACTGTTTAGACTTATTTTGTTTTCGACTGAAGTCAATTCGATTGCCATCAGTTCGTTCCTGGTCAAGATGTGCGATATCATTGTCGATCCATGAATTTTTATGTGCGATAATACCATCGTTCGTCGAGTTCCGTACTTATCTTCGCTAGAACGAGGGTTACCTCTGTTCGTGAAATAAGCACTCTGATAAAAATGAGACAAAAAAAATCACTTCTTTCTGTATCCTCGATTCTTCTAAATTATTTATATAAACCGGAACTGGAATCAACTTCTGTTTGACGTGCTCTAAAGTTTTTAATTTCTTAATCTTACAAAATTTTAAAGATAATTTCAATTGATGCGACGGAAAATGGTGAACGTATATATGAGAGACTCTGCTGAAAAGGTAGTGATAGCTCCATGCGTGTGAGAACTTCAATGCCAACCAAAAGTAAATATACTCTCAATCGATCGATCACAATTAAATCGAGGCTCAAACCAGGTACAGGAACTATATGGGCTTGGAACTCTGATCGTAAAACTTCAATTAATTTCTATCACAAAGAGAATGGTTTAGTAGGCACGAACTGTGTTCGAGTCGACCCCTATCAGTACACTTGAATATCATATAGGGTATATCAACACCCAAAGACCATATAGCCCCATGGACCTGATGAAAGTCGTGTAGATTTTTATTTCAACGTCAGTTTTGAAAATCTCTAGTCAAAAGGCCAGTTTTAGATCCGTCAACGACAAATCACGGTAAGTACAGAATCGACGACGGTACAAAAAGAGCATATTCTTTAGCCCCGTCTCTTGTTTACTACAGTAAGTTTTATTTGAAAGAACCCATTCTCAAATTCCTAGCGCACATGAAATATTATGCGGAGAAGTTTGACTTGATCTATGTCATGAAAACAACTTTATTTATTCGGAATTTTTATGATAGGAACAATTTTTAAAAATTAACAGCGTTCATAAAAAAAATTCTAATATGTAGTCGGCTGAGAAGTACAGATTATTGATGAGAAGAATAAAAACACTTCTAAAATAAAACATCTCAAAATGGATCACAATGATGGGTAGATTATTTACTAGTAGAATAATATAGCAAAATATTTGCCCTTTGTTACATGAAATATGATAACAATTAAATCAAAATTTCGAAGCAACGAGTGTCTGTAAAATACGCGTTGAAACCTAGATTGAATTTTTCAGTCAGTAATGCCCGGTGACCTTTACACTCTGCAGTGGCTTATTTAGCATCATAAATCATTAATTTACGAACACGCCATTGTGTGAGCACCAGCGTTGCAATCGATCAAATTACACGCGGAAAGAAACACATTCAAAAGTTTTCGTTATTAGATGAGGTTTTTTTAATTCTAACATGGCATGCAGGAAAGTAAATGATTAAATTTTTATCAACCGTCATGATCAAATTCGCTGTAAAAGTCGATACATTTAAATTTCATTTAAACTTCCTACCGCGATAGCCTTGGAAAAAGTATTCATGTTAATTAATGCTCCTTGCAGTCCAGCTTCGTGGATGTTTATAATAGCCACAATGAATTGACATATTTATATAAAAAATATATTTCCACAATAAAAGATTCCATTAGATATACAAAATCCGGATAAATTTAAGGAATCTTGTTTTTGAAACCACAAGTTTTTCAGTTATCTTTTACATGCCTACTCAATCGACAATTCTACGGACCCGCCAGCGGACTCGCCTGCGGACTCGCGCAACTGGGACACTCATAATTCCTTAAATACTCAACGGATCTGTATGAATTTTGGAATGTATCACAGATACGCTTGGATCTTGCACAGACACAGGGCTTTCAGGTTGAGATCCGCTTCCAGTTGAAGGCGTACGTATCTTCCGTTCCTGTTCACTGTTAAGCAACCAATATGAAATATTCAAGTAATTATTAAATATGGATACATTTAGTATTAGTAATGGGTTGGCCCGATTAATAAGCTCTTTCAGTACGCTTACGAGCCTAGATGATGGTTGTTAATGAAAAATTGTGGCACTACTCTTCCAATCAATTTTCGCTAATTATAACTATAATTTTGATTATTAATCGAAAACAAATTATGCAAGTTATTTAGCTCTTATTTTTTTAATTTGTTATAAGACAACAATATTTTACATATAAAATTTAGCATTTTGAAAACAAATGGATATAGTTTCATCAATTGGATTCTCTAGATGGGAATCAGAGACACACTACGAGCAACTCAGATAACTGAAAAACATCAATAGCCTAAAACTTGAGTTATTTTCATGCCCGTACGAGTTATATAGGCATAATTTGATTAATCCTTGATAAAAAATATCCGTGGAGTTTGTACCTGGGAATCTGAGGCGCTGGTGCGGGGTGATGCCGCTAGAGGGCGTCACTCCGGCCACGGCGTCGCTCGTCGTACCCGTATTGCCGACCTGAACAAACCATCACACATTACAAATTAACATTGTGTATTTACTTTATACATTAACATTCGGAACAATTTATTGTTATTGATGAAGCAAACAAGGCATCTACTGATCCCTGAATCAGTAGAGTTTCCTTTCATATGAGCAAATAAGGACAGAGTCCTTCCGGGTCCATTTTTTAAATCCATCTTAAAATAAATTATCAAGCTGTGTGGAATTTCCAGTGCGCGAAGAAGATTATTCGTCAGTCGTCAACAAATGTCACGATATTCATCGATCGGTCGCCTAATAATCTGTTTGAATCTTAAACGAGGTTTAGTATCTCTTAATTATAAAAAGAATTATTAATCCACCTTGCAATTATTATTACATTGCAATTCTTCAATTCTTATTACTTTTCAATTTCATGCTATCATTATTTAATAACGACAAATTGTGTGTAAAATCACCCTGATGGTGGCAGCCCTGATGTAGGGAACATCGTCGATGACGGATGCCGTGACCACCACCTCGGTGATGAAGGCCGTGGTCAGGAGGTCAACTCGCACCCAGTTGTTGCTGGCGCTGGTGCAGAAGCAGTCTTCCATCACTAAGTAGCAGTCGGCACCTTGAGTCTGAACAGTCACTTTCTTCTCAATTCTCATAAGTTGTGTTAGTTTCTTATCATTATCATCTAAGTAAAATTGTCATTTGTTAGTTGCTGTTTGTATTATTCCTTAGTTATCTTGATTACCTATGTAATTAATAACCTTTGTATCTGATTGATTACCTCTTGATTACCTTTGTAATAAAGAATAATTTCTTTGCAATTACCTGTACGTAATCAAGACTGAACCCCAAATGTAAGAAGTAAAGTAACTTAAGTGATGTTTTGAGTTTTGTGAATACGATCAAAATAGCTATTTATATGCAGTAAGCTGTAAGTATTATAATTTGCAACCATTGTAGTGGGAAATAATTGAAAAAAATTCGCATAGACCCTTCAAATCATTCTTAGTTCGGTCTATTATTCCACGATTAAGAATTCAAACCAATAATTTTTAACTCATTCTCATTAGTTTAAAACACATTCTTATCAATTCTCATAAGTTGTGTTAGTTTCTTATCATTATCATCTAAGTAGAAATATTTTTTTTAGTTGTTGTTTGTCATGTTTTCTAGTTGTCTTGATTACTTTGTAATTACCTTTGCACCTCTTGATTACCATTGTATCAAGACTAAGTCGCAAATGTAGGAAATAAAGTACCTTAAATAATGTAAGCTGTGTGAATACGTATAAAAAAAGCTTATTGTACACAGAAAGCTTAAAGTATAACAAATTGAAACCATTGAAGTGCGAGGTAATTGAAAAAAATGCTTCGTATAAACCATTGTAATCACTCTTAGTACGGTCAATTGTTCCACGATTAAGAATTCACACCAATAACTTTTAACTCATTCTCATTAGTTTAAATGCGCGAAATTTTTTAATATGTGAAATTCCAGAATTCGCAATTGCGTTCGTCATGAATGCACCAACCAGCACCGAGGGGTCGGGGTACCCAGGGAAGACACTGCCCGCGGTTACAGGTTTCCCGATAGCGAAATCTTGATTTTCTGTTCCAATGGATTTAATATTCCAGAACACCGGCACAGTAGGAGCATTAAATTGCGCAAAATCGTAGCTTGGATCCAATTTCACCGTCCACAACTCGCACAGATCTCCTGCGAGAAAGATAACGTTCAAGCAGCTGCTTGCATAAAAATTTGTGCACTTAGAATTTGTCTCCAATAATGTTAAATCGAAACTTTTTTCTGCTTGGGAACTTTTCCTGCAAGTTTTAAAAGCTGCATTCAAGTCACAAAGAAACTATGTGTTTTCGATAGTTTAACGTTCCTCGCGTTGTTGCCGAGACAAATTTACTAAAAAATTTTAAATAATACTAGAATACTACTTATATAATACTAAAATTTAATTTGAAAATTACTCGTTATAAGCAAATGTTTTTATTATTTTACCAACCTTTTGACATGAAAAATGTGCAGCTGATGTTGAGGTTGCACAAAGACAAGCACTGGAGCTTATAAGGCAGCCATGACTGCACTAGTCCTATCGGCAGCGGCGGACAACGTTCTCGGAGGTGTGACTCGAACGCCAGATCAGTCTGCGTGACGCAATTTACTTGTCATGTTTACATCATTTGAAAATTTCGGCGTGCATTTAGCACTAAAATTTTCTGACTTTCATTATAGTGTCACGTTATTCAGTTTTTATTATGTTATCTTCAGTAGAAAGAATTTTATGCACATTTTTGTTCGGGAAAAGGATTTTATTGCCATGGATTTCGCTCAGCGTAAAACTTCAAGAAGACAAACAATAGAAAAATAGAGTAAAAAATATAACTCAGTTCTCACCGCAGTGAGTGACAGAGAGCACATTTTCTCGTCGACGAAAACGTGGAGTCACGGACGGACAGACGGACGGACGGACATGGCGAGCACAATAGTGCATTTTTTCCATAAATGAGAAAATGCGCTAAAAAGTGATGAACCAGTGTAATCCTCGCCTCAGTTCAGATCAGCTCATAAATTATGGGAATCACACCGAAATTTGTTACTAGTTGAGTCTAAACTAGTACTTCCTTTACCATTGGAAAACCAATAAAATTTAATGATTAATTTAATGCCACAATTATGAAATTCACTATTAGCTCTGACTTCTTGTACAATCTGGCTGCGAATTACTGTGCGTGCTAGTGGGGAAAGGTTAAACGAAACCGTTATATGAGTATTCGATTGGAGTGTTGTTGGATTACTTTGCAGTGCTTTAGTTTAGCGAAACCTCGTGCTGATATATCTAACTGAGTAGAATGAGTCAATGAGCCGTCGCCTAACAGGAATAAAGCAAGGTGATGAATTTATATTGCACCGAAGAAGGCTTAGGCATGACAGTTTCGTGCCTATAAAAATATATAAACCCCCGCAATGAAAAAAGTAATTTAGAAGTCCGCAAATGATTTTCGATATTATGACACTTCATGGAAAAAATTAAATCCCTACATGACTTATCTTTCTACGCAGTGGTAATAATAATTTTCAGAATTCTTCATATTAAAAACCTTCAATCTTCGAGTATGCTCTGCATCAGATTTTTATTTGATATTCAAAGGCTTGGATTTGGCATCTGACAAGGTCGATGGCTACCTCAAAAATTAATTAAATCTGAAGTTTAACCGTCATTTTTATTAACTCGGAACACGAACGAAACTTGAACACTTGTTAAACTTTAACAACAAATCCACGCGCCAGTGTATGCACGACTCTTAATATTAACCTTAAGTCTTACAATTCAAACTTACGGATATTTTCCAACATTATACAGTGGCTGTTGTTCAGTAATTGACTTCTTTTCCTGTTCTAAATCGTTGACAAATTCGCGAATGAATAAAATTCAGTTGCTTCTGATTGATTCTAATGAAAATACAGCTTTTTTTGGTCTATTTAAGTAAACTCAGATTAACTGTAACATATTGCGCCACAAAGTAAGCACAAAGTTGATGCTCTACGAAACTAATTATCGATTTTTCACTATAAAAATTTCCATCGCAGCAGTAATTTTGTATACTGGTAACTTTGATACCGTTTTACATATCTTAATAATTCTCAATCAGCAATGTAGCTAAACCAAAAAAATCGTTACTTTTACGAGTCTAGCGCTTAAAGTAGTTGTCCATGAATAAAATTATCAAACCTTTTTGAATGTGTCAGTGACATGTTGAACCACTGCGCCGCCCATATGCAGAAGAGCAGCAGCGATCAACAGCCCCAGGGCGCGACGCTTGGACGTGTGCGCGAGGTTGACACGTGTCGTGTGCTGCGTGCCGCCTGCGTCGATCACGAAGAGACAAAGAAGCTGAGATTTAAACTTTGAAACTCAAAAATTTGTTGTTCATTTCATAGACTTGAAAGAGAATTCATAGGTAAAGCAATACAAATTAATCGAATACGTAAAAATTGTCAGTAAAACCACACTTCGTGGAATCAAATTAATAATAATGTCGAAGAAAATATTAGTGTAATTACAAATCATTGAGAAGACTGGTAAGAAATATTTCCAAAATGTTTCTAGTTCACATTAAATGGCCGAATAATACAAGGCTGCTTGATGCCACTCATTCATTTCATCGTCGAGAGGAAAAGGTACACCTTTTTGCGTAAGTTCATGCAATAGCGCACACAAATGGAATGGAGTAGGAAAGAATAAAAGACGTGGAACATATAGTTTACTTTTAGCCTGATCATTGCATTTGATAATATGTGATGATGAACAATGATCGTGCAATTATTGAAACATATTTTTAATTACAAAGAACATAAATTAAATATGTTTAATTACATTAAAACATATTTTAATTACAAAGAACATAATTTTATTGAATAAATTACCGTAATGTAAGTGTAAAATCCACATAGAGCTCGTGATGGAACTAATTTCGATTTTCGCTAGTTCTTTGTTTTAGATTAATAGATTATTAATAATTAACAGACAACAGTGTGTTACAGTTAATAGATTATTTTGTTATTTAATAAATTTAGGATTAGTGACTGAGCTTAAGTAATTTCCCCTCACGAAGGCCTTGATACTATTTCCTTACCAATGAAGTGAAAATAAATATCTTATATATCTTACCTTTAAAATCCATTCTGTATTCTACGTGAGTAAATCACTAAATCAATGAGACTTTTGTCAAATTTATCCAACTACACATAAATCGCGGGTTTTTAATACATCTTTTCGTAAGAATTATAAATTTCAATCATAAGATGTTAATATATCTATGATTTTGGTGCGTATAAGGATGAAAAGGAAAGATCATGGAGCAGTGCAGCTAAACGTCTTGTTCGCTAGTCCGTTCTTTTCGTACTAGTAAATGACCTGCAGTTGATGCTACGCCTAGTCTTGAAATTTACAAGTGCGCGCGTGACTTGCCTATGCTATAAACGAGTAATCATATATCGTGACTACAGAATGAAAAGTCGTACATAACTTATTCATTGAGTTAAGAGTTGTTTCGTGTCGTACTTGTACAGGTTGAATTTTATTCTCAATTAACGTAGTATTCTGTATTTCAAAAGTTTAGGAACACTTAGGCCACTTCGGCAGAGCCAAGCTATCAAAACAGCACTCTATATTGTATTGGTTGATTACGAGTCAATTTCATGCCGTCGTTAAATCTACTGCCATTATTAAACATGATAGTTCATAGGTGGTCTTAGTTGAAAATTTCTTTGATTACACCGTTGTAGCGCCCAAACTTTTTTGGTCAACCGTTCACTTAAATTAAGTCTTAATTTTAACGCGCCAGCGCTCAACAAAATTATTGACTCGTATTATTGAATTTGTATGAAATAATAACACTCTTTTCTCCGGAAGTTGCGTTTGCGTGAAATGCCAAAATAGTATGACACGATGAAAACATGAAATGATATTGCATTGCAAAAATTGTTCTTAATGATTGAAAACATTTGGCACGTATGAAAATAATGTCTGGGAAAATGAATGCAAATGCAAACTGTGTGAAGATGAGTGGGATCATAAATGCAACAATCTATTGCAATAATTTCGAATGAATTTTAATGAAATCTGCTCCTTAGAGCAGAGGATTCAATTTTAGAGGATAAGATAAATAAAACTCTATAATTAGTGCTGAAGAGATGAAGGTTTTAAGCACACTTATTCATGAAAATATATCATTAATGACGATGTTTGACGATAGTTCAACTATGAATCGGGATCACAGAGATCAAGTAACACAAATTCAAGATAAGAAATGAAAATTACATATGCATCAAACCCATCGAATAAGTGTCAAAAACAAATATTCTTGTAGCTATGGAATGTATATATTTCTTCTTAAATCTGTGCAAAAAATTGACAGTTACAGCTGTAAATTATTCCGTATCTTCGACTACAATGAACTTGTTCTGCCCAGCAAGACTTCTCAAAAAGAGGTCACTCGTAAATAATCTTGAGCTAAGATCTAGATTATTATTAGGAAACGTTAGTAAGTGTCTGTCAATAGAATAAGTGGATACTAAATGTCCTCTTTAATGTACGTAGAATCCACTCTATGTTTGAGATGCAAAAGTCTGCCCCAAAGTGAATGGGAGCTGGTGGGTTAGTTCACAGGACACACAGGATTAGAGCACATAGGTGCAGGTTCGATCCCAGCTTCTTGCGACAGTTCTGCTGGTCAAAATTAGCAAGGAGGCAGTCGAATAGGACAGCAAAATTGGAGCAATTAGATGCGCTTTCAAAACCGTAACGAACTGTGAATATTTTGCGATGTTACGAATCAGCGATAGGTCTAGAGGCTTAATCGCCGCTCTTCTATACTTGATGCCATCATATAAAATGTGTCCTCGAAAGCAACCCATCAAGTATAATATAGAAAAGCAGAAATAAGGTATTGTCACATTCACCACCACGTCTATACACAGCAAAAATGTCCGTTGGCTCAGCCTGCAGAGGCTCTCAGGCCCAACGGTCATCTTTGCGGTTGTCCTGTGGCGTTAAATTCACCCAGTGTGGACACCCGGAAAAGAAGAAGATGGTTGGCTCAGCACCACTTGGAATAGCAAACGGGGGTTCGCGTTGATCTCTGGCTCAGCCACGAGGCTGCACACATGCAGTTATTCAAAAGCTTTAAATAGTCGTGCACCACATTCAATTTAAAAGTAGTTCACTGAGCTTATAAGTTCACTGAGATATCTTGAAGAACTATTAAAATATTCAATTAAAATACATAGACCAACATCGTAAAACAACATGAACATGACTATGTATAATCGGCATGGTTATCGTGTAGTTTTATTCCTCCTCTTCAATATTCATCGGTACTGATTCGATCAAAGACTCTATAAAAAATATAATATTGTAACCTGTAACTGACGCAACGTTGCAATTTTTGGAAATCAATTCAATTCATGGTCAACCATGAATCCAGTGAACGAAATTTGTGGTCACTAGTGTCATTAGGGAGCGGTCTGCATAATAGGATCATCTGAGTCCGATCCCGAAAGTCCGAGACGTGCACACGGACCGGACATAGTTCACAGTTGCTGGCCCGCTGGGGCTGGGACGGCTACTGAGCTGCTTAGACTGTTGACTGATACTGACAGTCTGCTGAATTCCCGTGCAGACGTGGGTACTGCTGTAAGAACTAAATCCCTCCGAAGACGTGCTTGTGCTGTAAGAACTAAAATCTCTAAATCCCTCCGAAGACGTGAAGTTACATAGACGCGTCTCCGAAGCTCCAATAAACGAACAAACTACCTAGCCACCGATGCCATCTGCGTTTTGCAAACGCGCTCTTGCCGATTGGCGAAGATCATCATCCTTTATTCATCCGATCCTCATACGTTGAACTTAAAGGTTAAACTGTTAAAGTGCACAGTCTTGGACTTGAAGTATTTCCCTTAAGTTAAATCATGATTAATTTCCTTTTCTTTTCTTGTTTAATTTGTGCATAGCTGTCTCCTGTCTGCGGCTGTCAGTTGTCACCTTGATAAAAAGTATTATTACTACTATATCTTATCATACTAATCATAGGACCTAGATTCACACCATTCAAGAGAAATCAAGAGACAAGAGCACAAGACTATGATTTATGTACAAGGATCTGTTTAGAAAAAATTTGATATTTATAGCTAATATTTATAGCTAATATTTATATATTTATATACCTATATATTTATAATTATAATTCCATAACCAGGATTGAATTTTTTTTTGTAAATTACAAAAAATATGTAAAAAACTTGACTTGGCTGGACCTAACTCCAGTAAAACGGTCTCTAGCAATGTAAAAAAGGGTTTTAGTCTTTTAGACACACCTAACCCCTAACTCTCTAAGTCTCTAACCCTAACCTAACAACTTAACAAGGTTTTTTGCGCTTTTTTGATGTCCGCCTTGTCCGGTAATGTAGTTCATCTATTTTTGCATTCGGTTTTTATGTGCAAAGTACTGCAAACTAATTGCAGAGACTGCAGCAGAGTACATAACCCAATAACCTTGAACCGTGATAAGGGGATGTGATTTTGTCTGGTTTTCTAACCCTTGTCTGGTAATGTTACCAATCCTGTCCAGGTTATTGTTAAACTTGGGAAGTTGGGAGTTAAGGTCTTGTATTACCGTCAACCGGGGCTACTCGGGACGGGCAAGGCTACTCGGGACAGTCCTCCGACATGGCGTAAAACTGTTATAGTAGCAAAACTAATTGGAATATTACAAAACTAAATGTAGTGGCATAAACGTCAACATTTTTCCTATCTATGTAGTATAAAGGAAGTTGAAAAATACTACATTTACTAGCTTTGAAAAATTCCTGAAAAAATGGTGAAAAATGCTATTTTGAAAAGTTACTTCTGCTAAGGTCTGTAGCCAAAAAAATATTTGCCATATTAAAAAAAATATTCGCCGTATTAAGCAACATAAAAAAGGGTTTTAGACACACCTAACCGGGCTAACCCCTAACTGTAACCCTAACCTAACAAGGTTTTTTGCGCTTTTTTGATGTCCTGTAATGTAGTTCATCTATTTTTGCATCCAGTTTTTATGTGCAAACTAATTGCAGAGTACATAACCCAATAACCTTGAACCGTGATAAGGAGATGTGATTTTGTCCGGTTTTCTAACCCTTGTCTGGTAATGTTACCAATCCTGTACAGTTGTTGTTAAACTTGGGAGTTAAGGTCTTGTATTACCGTCAACTGGGGCTACTCGGGACAGTCCTCCGACACAGCGTAAAACTGTTATAGTAGCAAAACTGATTGGAATATTCCAAAACTAAATATAGTGGCGTAAACGTCAACATTTTTCCTATCTATGTAGTATAAAGGAAGTTGAAAAATACTACATTTACTAGCTCTAAAAAATTCCTGAAAAAAAAAAACGCTCAAAACTGTCCCAAGTAGCCCAGGTTGACGGTATATATATATATAATACGTATATATAATACAAATATTTCTATTGAAAGTCAGTCATCAGTTACTTACAAGGCATTAACATTACATCACTATTTCGCAGAAATGTCAACAAAACTTTACTTCAGTTTCATGGATGGGCCAATTTGGAATGTTGGCTGAACTGACTGATAATGACTGGTACAAATATGTATGTCAAACTGCGCAGCATGTAACCAATGGCTGGAATTTGCGCCGACTCCTGTGCGAAGAGAAAATATTTAGATTTTGCGCAAACTGCGCCGACCATTAGGTTAAAAAACTCCTTATCCATGAGAAAATTCCCCAAAAACCCCAATTCCCTTGAGTGTGGTCCACTGTGTGGAAAGTGGGTGAATATGGCAAGATCTTTGGTGATGCTTCTGCAGCTAAATTTCCGTCTTCAGATGATCTTGCCAACACATTTGGATTGAAATTATTGCATTTAAGATATTTGCCAGTCTTTGGCCAACTATTTAGAAAAAAATAAGGTTCCCGATACATTGGATGGATCAGGATGCAGTGAAGCTCATCCAGAAATCAGTTGCAATGAGTTCCTGCCAAAATATACTGCAAAATGTAAACAAGTAGTTGCGGTCACATCATAGTGGTCAGACTGCATTATCACATGTTCAAACGACACTTGAGTGAAGACAAATGTTGCTGTACAATCTTACTGTTTTAGGGTAAATTAGTTATTTGGGGTAATATGTGCATGTGACCTTGCAAATCAGTTTGTGGCTTGTAA